GGGCTCGCGCCGCTGAAGGTACGCGTGAGGGTCCGTGTCGGAGCCGGCTTGACAGGGGCCGAGGGGAAGTGGGGAGCCGCGCGAGGAGGCGCCCCTGAGCAAGAGCGTACGAGCTGGCGGGCGCGCAAGGCGGCCGAAGGCGGTGGTTGGTGGGAGCTGGGAGCAACGAGCCCAGATACACTCTGGCGCGTGCGGGCGGGCGTGCGCGCTGCGCCGCCCGGGTCGGGTGAAGGGGGAGGGCGGAGGGGGGGGAACGTGAGGAGGGAGGAGTGGGAGGTGGGGGGGCACGAGGCGCCCTTCGCTCCCTCCCTCCCTCCCTCCCTCCCTCCCGAGGAGCTGCCGCCGCCGCCGCTCTGCCGCCGCCGCCGCTCCAGCCGCCATTTTGGGTTCGCTTTGCGGAGGGGGAGACGATCCCCGTCTCGGTTGCGGGACCCGCCTCCCCTCAGTTTCCCCTCCTTAGCCCCACGCCTTTCCCTTCTCTTCTCGCATTTCCGCCAGCCCGCTCACCCGCTGGTTGCCTCCTGACAAGCGTGAGGGATCCGCCGTGGACCAAGGGAGCGGAGGAGCCTGGTGGCGGCCGCCCCCTCTTCCCCACTTCCCTGCACTCTCATCTTTCTCGGCCTCGGCCTCTGACACGGTGAGTAGAACTGCCTGGGGAGGCCTTTGGGCCTACGTGCGCCCTCGGCGACTCAGTCCTTAGTTTCCTGGGAGCCACTGTCACCTCCCGGACCTGGACCTCCGGGAGAGCAGCGGTAAGGATGGGGGAGGGGCGAGGAGGGTTGGGGAGATCCTGAGCTTACCGGGAAGTCCCTCCTGGCGGAGGTGAAGGGGTGTCCCTGACTGGCGGGCTCCTCGCTGGGGGAGGGGGCGGGAAAGTCAGCGAGTGGAGGCGGAGCCGCCTGTGCCCCTGACAGGTTAGTTTGTGTGTTGGGTTGGCAGGATGGGAGCATCCCCCATAGTCCAGCTTGTGTCTGTTGGAGGCTAGAGTGGCCTGAGAGGTGATCGCTGAGGGCACTTGACGTGTATAAGAAGGTGGTCGGTGGTGTTCCCGACACGCTGAACAGCATGTAGCAACACAGGATGATCTCAGTGTTGTAAGTTTAATAAATGTTACTGGTTAGTTTGTACAGGGAAAGACATGTTTTTGATCTAGAAAGGCAGATGGTCTGTTGGTGCACAGCGTCTGTGTTTGTGTGTGTATGCAAGGACGGAAAAGTGTGCCGAAAAGAGTTTGCTTGTTTTTGTGTGCATGTAATGGAGTCCCACTAAAAAGTTAGCTTATTTTAAAATAAAACTTGTGTTCCCTGCTGGTGGTTTTGTGTGTCTTTTAGGGATGGAAAACACTTGTTTGTTGGGAAAGAGCAGTCATGGCCATGGCAGTAGTAGACAATATAGTGTATATGTGTGGAGGCAGGAGAAACGTGTCAGAACCAGCTGTGGTCTTAAGAATAGTTTCTCTGAACAGAGTGAATCGTGTGAATGTGAAGACCCAGAGCATCTTCAACGGGACAATTACTCTGCGAATATACAGAATGATGGCTGTTTTGTCGACCTTATATTAACACTTTAATAGACTAAAGCATTTTATATTTTTACAATTCTTTTTCAGTGTCCCTAACTCTGTGAAAATGGTAGGATGGATACTATCACCCATTTTAAACAAATAGACATCATGAAGAGAAATTTTCCAAGGTCACATGCTGAATTGGTGACAAAAGGGTCTATAATTCAGATATTATTTGTCCACACCATACCTTGGTGCTTCAGTGGATCTTTCTCAGGCAAATCTGAGTTTATTGAATAGGGTTGGTTGGATTGTAATTGGTAGAGATATGTCCAACATATATCCGTCCTTGCCACATTAGCCAGTATGAAGAAGGTATCCACGACTATATTATCTTTTTTACTGGAGGAAACAGAGCATTTCTGACACTTCAGTTTGTGCTTGAGGGAAGGGTGTCTATCGTAACTTGTAGTAGAGCTGCTGTGCAGGGCTTAACAGCTTAATTTTTAACATACATAAGACAGGATCTTTTATTCCTCTGACTAATATTTATGGAATTACTATTCAATAACTGGTTCCTGCATTGGGGTGAGAATCAAGGTGACCCTGTTGAGACAGCTTGGATACATATGAGGGTGCTTCTTTTGCTAAAGGTGTATTAAGTAGAGGGAAAAAGGCCAGTCAATGTGGAATTGAAATTAGAAAATCTTCCTAAAAAGTCAGTTCACTTTGGAGGGAACTTAAAGTCTCTACACATTTTAATATGACAGGATACAAGTGTATTTAAGTGTCAACTAGGGTAACCAGTTTGTGTTCAACTATGCCACCTTTTGCATTTTCTTCTGGCATTCATGAATTTACTGTTTTTGGCATCTGGCATAGTTGATATATGTGCCTGTGAATATTAGAACTTTTTGGCTGGACTGAAGGAATTCTTCGAAAGACTAAATTTGTAGTAAGGATTCCTTCTGTGAGTTTAAGGAGAGTCTGCTTGAACTAAGCCAACTTAACTGTATTTCTCTGGAAAATGGAATGTTTTTGATATGGTAGATTAGTGGTACGTAGATGTTTTTGGGTCATTTATTCTTCTGAGACTTAATGAAAGATCGTAATTGTAGAAAATGAACATAAGCATAGTCACAAAAATTATGCATACAATTTCATGAACTTAAATTGCAGTGAAGTAGAAGCAATTTATATTCAGGTCTCATTTGAAAGCCTTTTTCTTTTAATCTTTGTTTTGGGGTGGAAATGTTGCTGTGCGTTTAAGATGACAATGTATGAGCATGCTGACATTAAGGAGAAGTTTAAGATACATATTATTTATTCTTTGCATATTATTCCATCAGTGCCAGTACAATGAATCTAAACGAGGTGAAAAGAGAATAAAATTATCTTTTTTGTTCTTAAACTCTTCAATTTTGCACTGGAACTGAGATGTTTTGAAGATCATTTCCTGGAGTTTATCTTAGTTACAACAAACATTATAGAGTTAATTCTAGGAAGGGAATGTAAAAATGAAAATATATGGCCTTTGTCCTTAAAGAGAATCTAATTCAATTAAAATGATTGGTTGTATTATGGTGGGATCATTCAAAAAAGAGGAGGAGGGAGAAAAGCAGAATATTCTTAGAAGTTTTTATGAATTGTTTGCAGAGTTTTTGCCTCTACTTAGTCTTCAGAAGCTGTAACTTTTTTTTTTTTTAACATGTATCTTTGTAATTCAAAGCTTTATGTTGGTAGCAAACTGTTTTTTGGATGAAGGAGCTATCATTGGTTACATTCTTACCTTGTCTGGATGTATTTCTATAGTGTAAAGGTTTTGCTTTTTTTTTTTTTTAAAGATTATTTATTTATGCATACAGAACTGGGGTACAGGCCAGAGGTGCAGGGGCAGTAAGAGGATTTACCAGAGACAGAGTGGGGAGCAGAACAGGCCAACTGATGAAGTACACTGCTGAGGGGAGCAGTGGACTGGCCAGGAGAGGTCTGCTGCGCCGTGTGGGTCACCACCAGGGCTGGGGATTGAACTCATGCTGAAGTGGCTTTAGTTTCTTACTGCTGTGCTTTAACCCACTGCGCCACCAGGGAGAGCCCATTTTTAATTTTTTTTAAAATTTATTTATTTATGTGTACAAGAACTGTGGTGCAGGGCAGAGTTGTGTAGAGTAAGAGGATTTACCAAAGACAGAGTGGGGAGCAGGACAGGCAGATTAAAGAAGTACACTGCTGAGGGGAACAGTGGGCAGGTCTGGAGAGATCTGCTGCACCATGTGGGATACCTCCCTAGCCCTGATGGAACTCTTGCTGTAGTGGCTGCGATGGCTTTATTGTGCTGGGCTTTAACCCATTGTGCCACGAGAGACAGCCCCTATAGTGCAAATATTTTAAGGTCCTTTTGAGATTTATAAGTGCATCTAGAAAATACTTCTGGGGTAAAATCTAGTAACTACTTCACAAACTACTTATGAATTTAGAACTGAAAATTAAGAACAATCACTGCCTTTTCACAAGAACATGAAACTCAGAAAGATGACTTAATAGAACAGATGACAGAATTCAGTATGATAATGGACAGACCTTAAGGAAAATGGTTTGTTGTCCTCATGGCTTCAGTGTAAGAATGTCATGTAAGTTTGGGGAGCGTTTGATACGTGGGTAGTTTTTTCCCCTTCAGAATGTCATATATGTTTATACTTTGTATTTATATTTGCTCACATATATATATATATATATATATACACACACACACAGCTGTTTGTAGTTATATATAGTTTCTTGTATGTGTAAAATAGGTCACAATTAAAAAATTTATTACAAAAAATTTAGGATCTTTGATAATCAAAAATGGAAAGTTATTTTCATGTTACTATTGACTTGTATTCTAAATTATGGAAAATAACTTTCCCGTATCTGGTTAGGCATTGTCTTTACAGTATTAGCAGCACCCTTGAAAGGTGCTTCTTTCCTACCTTATGAATAAAAATTGCTACATTGAATACTGTCTAAAGTGATCATCCTGTACAG